CAGGGTGAAAGAAACTTTACCCATCTGTTTCTCCCTGGTGCGGGAATCGAACCCGCACCACACAATTACGAGCGCGCTATCCACCAGGCCCCTGTAGTGTGTATGTGTGTCCACGCGTGCGTGTGTGTGTGTGTGTGTGTGTGTGTGTGTGTGTGTGTGTGTGTGTGTGTGTGGGGGGGGGGTGTCCCGCCTCTCAACCGTCAATCAACTGGTGTACAGATTCCTGAGCCTATCGGGCTCTGTCATATCTACACTTGAAACTGTGTATGGAGTCAGCCTCCACCACATCACTTCCTAATGCATTCCATTTGTCAACCACTGACACTAAAAAAGTTCTTTCTAATATCTCTGTGGCTCATTTGGGCACTCAGTTTCCACCTGTGTCCCCTAGTGCGTGTGCCCCTTGTGTTAAATAGCCTGTCTTTATCTACCCTGTCGATTCCCTTGAGAATTTTGAATGTGGTGATCATGTCCCCCCTAACTCTTCTGTCTTCCAGCGAAGTGAGGTTTAATTCCCGTAGTCTCTCCTCGTAGCTCATAACTCTCGGCTCGGGTACTAGTCTGGTGGCGAACCTTTGAACCTTTTCCAGTTTAGTCTTATGCTTGACTAGATATGGACTCCATGCTGGAGCCGCATACTCCAGGATTGGCCTGACATATGTGGTATATAATGTTCTGAAAGATTCCTTACACAAATTTCTAAAGGCCGTTCTTATGTTAGCCAACCTGGCATATGCTGCTGATTTTATCCTCTTGATATGAGCTTTAGGGGACAGGTCTGGCGTGATATCAACCCCCAGGTCTTTCTCTCTCTCTGACTTGAAGTATTTCGTCTCCCAAATGATACCTTGTATCTGGTCTCCTGCTCCCTACCCCTATCTTCATTACATTACATTTGTTTGGGTTAAACTCTAACAGCCATTTGTTCGACCATTCCTGCAGCTTGTCCAGGTCTTCTTGAAGCCTCAAGCTGTCCTCCTCTGTCTTAATCCTTCTCATAATTTTGGCGTCGTCAGCAAACATTGAGAGGAATGAGTCTATACCCTCTGGGAGATCATTTACGTATATCAGAAACAGGATAGGTCCGCGTACAGAGCCCTGTGGGACTCCATTGGTGACTTCACGCCAATCTGAGGTCTCACCCCTCACTGTAACTCTCTGCTTCCTATTGCTTAGGTACTCCCTTATCCACTGGAGCGCCCTACCAGTTACTCCTGCCTGTTTCTCCAGCTTATGCATCAACCTTTTATGGGGTAGTGTCAAAGGCTTTCCGACAGTCCAAAAAAATGCAGTCGTCCGCCCATCCTTCTCTTTCTTGCTTAATCTTTGTCACCTGATCGTAGAATTCTATCAAGCCTGTAAGGCAAGATTTACCCTCCCTGAACCCATGTTGATGGGTTGTCACGAAGTCTCTTCTCTCCAGATGTGTTACTAGGTTTTTTCTCACAATCTTCTCCATCACCTTGCATGGTATACAAGTTAAGGACACTGGCCTGTAGTTCAGTGCCTCTTGTCTGTCACCCTGTCAATATATACCCTTTTTGTATATTGGTACTACATTAGCAGTCTTCCATATTTCTGGTAGGTCTCCCGTTTCCAGTGACCTGCTATACACTATGGAGAGTGGCAAGCAAAGTGCTCCTGCACACTCTTTCAATACTCATGGTGAGATTCCGTCCGGCCCAACAGCTTTTCTCACGTCCAGCTCCAATAGGTGCTTCTTGACCTCATCTCTTGTAATTTCGAACCTTTCCAAGGTCACCTGGTTTGCTGCCACCTCTCCTAGCGCCGTGACTTCTCCCTGTTCTATTGTAAAGACCTCCTGGAACCTTTTGTTGAGTTCTTCACACACCTCTTTGTCATTCTCTGTATACCTGTCCTCGCCCGTCTAAAGTTTCATCACCCGTTCCTTCACTGTTGTCTTCCTCCTGATGTGACTGTGGAGTAGCTTTGGTTCGGTCTTGGCTTTATTAGCTATATCATTTTCATGCCTTTTCTCAGCTGCTCTTCTCACACTGACATACTCGTTCCTGGTTCTCTGGTATCTCTCTCTACTTTCTGGCGTTCTGTTATTACGGAAGTTCCTCCATGCCCTTTTGTTCAGCTCCTTTGCTTTTATACATTCCCTATTAAACCACGGATTCTTCCTTTGCTTCTCTGTTTTTACCTGTCGGGCTGGGACAAACCTGCTTACAGCCTCCTGACATTTTTGGGTGACATAGTCCATCATGTCTTGTACGGGCTTGGTTCTGAGTTCTGTGTCCCAATGTATATCCCTTAGGAATTTATTCATCTCCTCATAGTTTCCCTTTCGGTACGCCAGCCCTTTGGTTCCCAGTTCTTTTTTGGGGGTGATAATTCCCAGCTCAACCAGGTACTCAAAGCTCAATACACTGATCACTCATTCCCAAGGGGGCTTCCAACTTAACTTCCCTTATATCCGACTCATTTAGGGTAAATATCACATCAAGCAAGGCTGGTTCATCCCCTCCTCTCATTCTTGTCGGTCCCTTGACGTGTTGACTTAAAAAGTTTCTTGTTGCCACATCCAGCAGCTTTGTTCTCCATGTGTCTGGTCCTCCATGTGGGTCTCTGTTCCCCCAATCTATCTTTCCATGGTTGAAGTCTCCTATGATTAGTAGCCTGGATCCATTCCTGCTAGCCACAGAAGCTGCTCTCTATTATATTAATGGTGGCCAAGTTGTTTCTATCATATTCCTGTCTGGGTCTTCTGACATTCGGTGGGGGGTTATATATGACTACTACTATAATTTTCTGTCCTCCAGTTGCTATGGTGCCTGATATGTAGTCACTGAAACCTTCACAGTTCTGAATTATCTCTTCAAAACTTCAACCTTTTCTTATCAGCACACACGCATGAACACACGCATTTGTGTTCATGTGTGTGTGTGTGTGTGTGTGTGTGTGTGTGTGTCCACGTGTGTGTGTGTGTGTGTGTCCACGCGTGTGTGTGTGTACTCACCTATTTGTGCTTGCGGGGGTCGAGCTTTGGCTCTTTGGTCCCGCAATTCCGTAGAATGAATTAGACACACACTGGGGACACGGCGTGTGTCCACGTGTGCGCGCGTGTCTATGCCAATCTCCGGGATGGGGCCGTCTAGGACTGGTGTTGACTGAGGCTGTGTGAGGAGGTCGCTGCCATATTTACCCGCCGCTGCCTGCGCCCAGACCTGTGAGAGTGTGAGAGCAGGCGGGAGCGGAGGGTAAGTGTTGACTGTGATAATGTCAACACATCCCCCACACACGCTTTGTTAGCGGGGCCGCCAGCTGGGGTCACGCTAGACGTGAGGCAGGACAGCTGGGGTCACGCTAGACGTGAGGCAGGACAGCTGGGGTCACGCTAGGCTTGGGGCAGGACAGCTGGGGTCACGCTACACTTGAGGCAGGACAGCTGGGGTCACGCTACACTTGAGGCAGGACAGCTGGGGTCACGCTAGACTTGGGGCAGGACAGCTGGGGTCACGCTACACTTGAGGCAGGACAGCTGGGGTCACGCTACACTTGAGGCAGGACAGCTGGGGTCACGCTACACTTGAGGCAGGACAGCTGGGGTCACGCTACACTTGAGGCAGGACAGCTGGGGTCACGCTACACTTGAGGCAGGACAGCTGGGGTCACGCTAGACTTGGGGCAGGACAGCTGGGGTCACGCTATACTTGAGGCAGGACAGCTGGGGTCACGCTAGACTTGGGGCAGGACAGCTGGGGTCACGCTAGACTTGGGGCAGGACAGCTGGGGTCACGCTAGACGTAAGGCAGGACAGCTGGGGTCACGCTAGACTTGAGGCAGGACAGCTGGGGTCACGCTAGACTTGAGGCAGGACAGCTGGGGTCACGCTAGACTTGAGGCAGGACAGCTGGGGTCACGCTAGACTTGAGGCAGGACAGCTGGGGTCACGCTAGACTTGAGGCAGGACAGCTAGGGTCACGCTAGACTTGAGGCAGGACAGCTAGGGTCACGCTAGACTTGAGGCAGGACAGCTGGGGTCACGCTAGACTTGAGGCAGGACAGCTGGGGTCACGCTAGACTTGAGGCAGGACAGCTGGGGTCACGCTAGACAACGAGTCAGCTGCTGGATCAACGAGTCAGCTGTGAGATCAACGAGTCAGCTGTGAGATCAACGAGTCAGCTGTGAGATCAACGAGTCAGCTGTGAGATCAACGAGTCAGCTGTGAGATCAACGAGTCAGCTGTGAGATCAACGAGTCAGCTGTGAGATCAACGAGTGAGCTGTGAGATCAACGAGTCAGCTGTGAGATCAACGAGTCAGCTGTGAGATCAACGAGTCAGCTGTGAGATCAACGAGTCAGCTGTGAGATCAACGAGTCAGCTGTGAGATCAACGAGTCAGCTGTGAGATCAACGAGTCAGCTGTGAGATCAACGAGTCAGCTGTGAGATCAACGAGTCAGCTGTGAGATCAACGAGTCAGCTGTGAGATCAACGAGTCAGCTGCTGGATCAACGAGTATACCGTCAGTAAGAACGAGAGAGAGCGAGGGAGAGAAACAGCTGGGAAGTTATCTAACATGTCATCAGCTGTTGCACGTGGGGCCCAGAAGAGAGCGTGACGCAGGTTGGGGGCCCTGAAGCGAGCATTAGTGTTCATTGAGAGTGGTGGTAAGAGGCGTCTGTGTCGGCGTCCCCTCAGTGTGGTCCGGGACGTCGCCTCGCGCACGTCCTCCAGCGGCGCCGTGTATCCTGCCTGCTACACATTCATGTCACTCGAAGCCATTAGAGAACCAATGTTAAAACTAATCTGATAATCATTTTCTCTGTGATATTATTAATATCTGACTTACAGTATCTATTGATTTTTAGTGGTTATCCTATAAAAGACGGGAAACTTTATTATTACTAATAGTTTTATATTTATGATTCATTTGAATATGTTTTATGAATAATTTAATGCTATATGTAGGAGTCCAAAGTTCCACAGAAAATTACATGCATTCATTGCGTCATCGGTGACAACCAATCAGGTGGAATTGCCTGAGTGTCGCCAGTTACCTCGTTAGTGTTGACGCGGCCATTGGCTATACTCATTGCTGCTGGAGTCACGTGACCACAAACACTTACGTCATCAGTGGCAACAACTACGTCACCAGGGCCAAGAGTGTCGACCATTACGTCATCAGTGGCAATAACTACGTCACCAGGGCCAAGAGTGTCGATCATTACGTCATCAGTGGCAATAACTACGTCACCAGGGCCAAGAGTGTCGACCATTACGTCATCAGTGGCAACAACTACGTCACCAGGGCCAAGAGTGTCGACCATTACGTCATCAGTGGCAATAACTACGTCACCAGGGCCAAGAGTGTCGATCATTACGTCATCAGTGGCAATAACTACGTCACCAGGGCCAAGAGTGTCGACCATTACGTCATCAGTGGCAACAACTACGTCACCAGGGCCAAGAGTGTCGACCATTACGTCATCAGTGGCAACAACTACGTCACCAGGGCCAAGAGTGTCGACCATTACGTCATCAGTGGCAACAACTACGTCACCAGGGCCAAGAGTGTCGACCATTACCTCAGATTAGACAGGTAAGTGAACTTACCTGTGATCCATCAATGGTTGATGGATCACATTAATCACTGACGGATCAATGTCCTCACCTACGGAGGGTAAGTGCTGGAGAGCCTTGATAAGTGCCTTCCAGTACTCACCCTCCATAGTCTGTGTCACTACGATACCCTCCAACACTCACCCTCCAGCGTCTGTGTCACTACGATACCCTCCAACACTCACCCACCAGCGACTGTGTCACTACGATACCCTCCAACACTCACCCACCAGCGACTGTGTCACTACGATACCCTCCAACACTCCTCCTCCAGCGACTGTGTCACTACGATACCCTCCAACACTCCCCCTCCAGCGTCTGTGTCACTACGATACCCTCCAACACTCCCCCTCCAGCGTCTGTGTCACTACGATACCCTCCACAGTCTGTGTCACAACGATACCGTGATAGAGGGTGCGGATGAGGACCGAGGAAGACTGGTCGTCGTACCAACAATAAGACAAGGGCCGGCAGGTACTGTAAGAGTACACGACCACACACCTGGACCACAACACTCACACTTCCTCTCAGACCTAAGTTACGTCTCTTTCTCTTGCACTGTTCACGGCGACCCACAATGTGATAATTACTTACCCCAAGTTCGGTAACCGATCTACGAGAACAAGAACAACATCCATAAACCTAAGAGCGTAGTTTCCTCTAGATAGTTAAGAGTGACGTCTGATACCACCCGTCCTCACACAACCCGTCCTCGACTCAAGTCCATTACATTCAGCGGTCAACCCCACAGACGCATTCATAAATTTTAACATGCTGTTCATTCAAAACGGAAATTTTCTCAAGTATAAATTAATATTATAATATATTAGCATATTGTGCATATATAGGCATAGGATAGGTTAGGTTAGGTGTTTAGGTTCTGTTGGTGATTATTTGTAATTGTAGTACGTGCGTGAAGCATTTATAGCGTTGTGATTCGAACAAAATTCGTCAGTGAAGCACTTGTTCCGGATATGTTCGAACGTCAGCAGTTGTGAGTCGTGTGTAAACCGCTTTTCATTCATAAACAGCTGGGGGGTTTGGCGGGTGCATGGAATCACTTTTGGATCTTTGTTTGGAGGACGGGCTGCCTCACACCAAGTCAATTCCATCCAGCGGTCGACCCCAAAGACGAATTCATAAGTTTTAACATGCTGTTCATTCAAAGTAGCAATTTTCTCAATTATAAATTAATATTGTTATATATTAGCATATTGTGCATATTTAGGCATTGGTTAGGTTAGGTTCTGTTGGCGATTATTTGTATTTGTAGTACGTGGGTGAAGCATTTACAGCGTTGTGGTTCGAACACAAGTCGTGTGTAAACCGTTTTTCATTCACAAACAGCGAGGGGGTTTGGCGGGTGGATGGAATCACTTTTGACCTATGTTTATGAGGGCGGCTGTCTGATAACCCAAGGTCTCTGTAAACGGACGGAACCCAAATGAACGACTGAACATACTGCTGGATGAACGACTGAACATACTGCTGGATGAACGACTGTATTAACCAGCGCTGTATCAGGGTGCAGCACAGCGCATCCTCTTCCACAAACGCCAACTGAGGTTTTCATGCAGAGTTAGAACACTACCCTTATACGGTATAGTCACTGTGACTGTTGTTACTGTTTACTGTGATTGTGGACGGTGGTGGTGGTGTTGTGGTGACCAAGCTCACTGTTGTGGACGGTGGTGGTGTTGTGGTGACCAAGCAACACACCAGAAGATGACGTTTCAGTCCGTCTCGGACCATTATCAACTCTAATGTGGTATTGTGATCTGGCTGCACCGTTTAGGAGTCTTGGCCAACTAATTAACTTGGGTTAACCCAAGTAAGGTAATTACAAAGTATGCTACTATGTTGGGGGCGACAACATAGGTGTATACTGGCAGCAGGTCTACATTTATACATGTCTCATTGAATATGACTGCATATTCTGTATTGATTATTTTCTTGTTTAGGGCTTCTATCCCTCTGACTAATGCTCTAGCATCTTGGTTTAATTGGAAGAGTTCTCCAAAAGTCATCTTCGTTCGAGGTGAAGAAAAATAAATAAATAACTGTAGAATGTATTACACTTATTATAAAATTTACACAACGTTTCGAACCAACATGGTTCATTCTCAAGTGACAGGGAAGTACAGGGCGTATTAGTTTTATACCATTAGGGGAGTCAAGTGTAGACAAGTTGACCAATACAAATGGGTCAAGAATAAGGCATAAAGGGGAGAAAAGTATGACGTTTAAGTTTGAAGAAAAAGAAAATATGGAACGAAGCAGACACAAGGGTTAATCAGGCGTAGCATGTTGAACAGTGTCTTCTATGTTGGCATCTTCATGTTCCGGTCTTGTTCTTCAAGACCGGAACTTTAACGTCTTCTTCAAACTTTAACGTCATACTTTTCTCCCCTTTATGCCTTATTCTTGACCCATTTGTATTGGTCAACTTGTCTACACTTGACTCCCCTAATGGTATAAAACTAATACGCCCTGTACTTCCCTGTCACTTGAGAATGAACCATGTTGGTTCGGAACCTTGTGTAAATTTTAAATAAGTATAATACATTCTAATACATAACTGTACTTCACTAATACATAACTATACTTCATTAATACACAACAATAGTTCACTAATACATAACTATACTTCACTAATACATAACTACACTAATACATAACTATACTTCACTAATACATAATTATACTTCACTAATACACAACAATACTTCACTAATACATAATTATACTTCACTAATACATAACTATACTTCACTAATACATAATTATACTTCACTAATACACAACAATACTTCACTAATACATAATTATACTTCACTAATACATAACTATACTTCACTAATACATAATTATACTTCACTAATACACAACAATTCTTCACTAATACATAACTATACTTCACTAACATTACACTACATTACTTCACTATAACATTAAACATAGAAAAGACTTACTACATCTTATTTGGAAGCAAATCATCAAATGCAATTCAGCTACAGATAGACAACATTAACATCAGTAATAAAAATGATGGCAAGTTTCTTGGCCTATTCCTAGACAAGAGACTCAAGTTCAGCACCCGCATTCAACACATAACTAAGAAAGTCTCTAAAACAGTTGGTATACTCTCCAAAATCAGATATTATGCTCCTAACTCTGCTCTCCTCTCACTATATTATGCACTAATCTACCCCTGTCTTAATTATGGTATCTGTGCATGGGGGTCTACCACTGCAAACCACCTTAAGCCCATCATCACGCAGCAAAAATCTGCTATCAGAATAATAACAAACTCAGCTTTCAGACAACACTCAGCTCCCTTGTTTAAATCCCTAAACTTGCTAAATATTAACTCCCACCACACATTCTCTTGTGTCAACTACATTTACAAAACCCTGTTCTTAAATGCAAACCAAGCTCTGAAACTCTCCCTGGACAGATGTAATAGGACCCATTATCACCACACCAGAAATAAATCTCTCTTTGATATCCCCAAAGTCAAACTTAATCTGTGTAAACACTATGCAAATTAAGGGACCTAGTCTATGGAACTCACTCCCTAGTGAATTGAAAAGCTGTCAAACTTTTGCCTCATTTAAAAACAAAACCCAAAAGTACCTAATTTCATCTTCGTAGTGTCCTACACTGAGCTTTAAATTTGCTCTGTACCTAGTGTTACCCAATCTCCCAACCTTTACGTACTTAACCCAAACAACTTTATCATTGTGTTCATTGCTGTCTTCTTTTATGTGCTAGTCATATGCTGTAATGTGCCTGCTAATTTTTGTTAAACTACCATTCAAGCTGTCATTGCAATCAATCTGAGCTACCTATGTGTTATAATATACCTACAATTTTCTCTCATCTTATATTTTTTTTCTTGCAATGTAACTGTTATCATTTGTATAAATTTTGCAAGTATTTACCTACTTAAAATTTTCTTAGATTAAGGACCTGCCCGAAACGCTGCGCGTACTAGTGGCTGTACAAGATTGTTATTACTATGCAATGTATCCTCACAATCCCAGTGTACCTTCTTATATAAATAAATAAATAAATAAAAATAAATAAACTAATACACAACAATATTTCACTAATACATAACTATGTTTCACTAATACATAAGTATACTTCACTAATACATAACTATACTTCACTAATACATAAGTATACTTCACTAATACATAACTATACTTCACTAATACATAAGTATACTTCACTAATACATAACTATACTTCACTAATACATAAGTATACTTCACTAATACATAACTATACTTCACTAATACATAACGGAACACCTGCTAGAGGGTCATTGGTAAAGCATAATAAAATTACTACAATAGCTAGTGTTTTAATAACTTGAAGAAATAATGTAGAGTAAATGTATTACTTTTACATTTAAATTATTTACTTTTACTTTTAAATTATTACAATTACATTGTATTGTAATAATAATACATGAGGATAATGTAGCCTGGAACATTATGGGCATGTATGTGGATGCTTCCATCTTCCCAGTCAATATCCGCCAGATTTCACGGACTCATTCAGCGAAGGGCGACTGCCGAATGAACTTCCGGTTGGCATTCTGGGAGGAGAGTATTTCAGGGCTGTGGCGCCCTGCCTGGAGGTGTGGTGGCCCGGTCTGAGGGCCCGGGCTCCCTCCCAGTGGCCCACCTCGGGTCTGAGGGCCCGGGCCCCCTCCCAGCGGCCCACCTCGGGTCTGAGGGTCCGGGCTCCCTCCCAGCGGCCCTCCTGGGGTTTGAGGGCCCAGGCTCCCTCCCAGCGGCCCTCCTGGGGTTTGAGGGCCCAGGCTCCCTCCCAGCAGCCCACCTCGGGTCTGAGGGCCCATGCTCCCTCCCAGCAGCCCACCTCGGGTCTGAGGGCCCAGGCTCCCTCCCAGCAGCCCACCTCGGGTCTGAGGGCCCATGCTCCCTCCCAGCAGCCCACCTCGGGTCTGAGAGCTCAGGCTCCCTCCCAGCGGCCCTCCCAGGGTCTGAGGGCCCAGGCTCCCTCCCAGCAGCCCACCTCGGGTCAGAGCTCAGGCTCCCTCCCAGCGGCCCTCCTGGGGTCTGAGGGCCCAGGCTCCCTCCCAGCGGCCCTCCTGGGGTCTGAGGGCCCAGGCTCCCTCCCAGCAGCCCACCTCGGGTCTGAGAGCTCAGGCTCCCTCCCAGCGGCCCTCCCAGGGTCTGAGTGCCCAGGCCCCCTCCCAGCAGCCCTCCCAGGGTCTGAGGGCCCAGGCTCCCTCCCAGCGGCCCTCCCAGGGTCTGAGTGCCCAGGCCCCCTCCCAGCAGCCCTCCCAGGGTCTGAGGGCCCAGGCCCCCCTCCCAGCGGCCGTCCTAGGGTCTGAGGGCCCGGGCCCCCTCCCAGCGGCCCACCTGGAGTCTGACCACACCCACCACCTACCTGACCACGCCCACTTGGCTCATCGTCACTAAAACTAATTGAGTTCCACGGAGGAAAGATCTATAGTCACACACGGCTGACCATCGACCTTCATGGGAGCCACTCAGCTGCACTAAGAGGGTCCTGGTGAACACCAGCTGCACTAAGAGGGTCCTGGTGAGCACCAGCTGCACTAAGAGGGTCCTGGTGAACACCAGCTGCACTAAGAGGGTCCTGGTGAGCACCAGCTGCACTAAGAGGGTCCTGGTGAGCACCAGCTGCACTAAGAGGGTCCTGGTGAACACCAGCTGCACTAAGAGGGTCCTGGTGAACACCAGCTGCACTAAGAGGGTCCTGGTGAACACCAGCTGCACTAAGAGAGTCCTGGTGAGCACCAGCTGCACTAAGAGGGTCCTGGTGAACACCAGCTGCACTAAGAGGGTCCTGGTGAACACCAGCTGCACTAAGAGGGTCCTGGTGAACACCAGCTGCACTAAGAGGGTCCTGGTGAACACCAGCTGCACTAAGAGGGTCCTGGTGAGCACCAGCTGCACTAAGAGGGTCCTGGTGAGCACCAGCTGCACTAAGAGGGTCCTGGTGAGCACCAGCTGCACTAAGAGGGTTCTGGTGAACACCAGCTGCACTAAGAGGGTTCTGGTGAACACCAGCTGCACTAAGAGGGTCCTGGTGAGCACCAGCTGCACTAAGAAGGTCCTGGTGAACACCAGCTGCACTAAGAGGGTCCTGGTGAGCACCAGCTGCACTAAGAGGGTCCTGGTGAACACCAGCTGCACTAAGAGGGTCCTGGTGAACACCAGCTGCACTAAGAGGGTCCTGGTGAACACCAGCTGCACTAAGAGGGTCCTGGTGAACACCAGCTGCACTAAGAGGGTCCTGGTGAGCACCAGCTGCACTAAGAGGGTCCTGGTGAGCACCAGCTGCACTAAGAGGGTCCTGGTGAACACCAGCTGCACTAAGAGGGTCCTGGTGAACACCAGCTGCACTAAGAGGGTCCTGGTGAACACCAGCTGCACTAAGAGAGTCCTGGTGAGCACCAGCTGCACTAAGAGGGTCCTGGTGAACACCAGCTGCACTAAGAGGGTCCTGGTGAACACCAGCTGCACTAAGAGGGTCCTGGTGAACACCAGCTGCACTAAGAGGGTCCTGGTGAACACCTGGTACACTAAGAGGGTCCTGGTGAGCACCAGCTGCACTAAGAGGGTCCTGGTGAGCACCAGCTGCACTAAGAGGGTCCTGGTGAACACCAGCTGCACTAAGAGGGTGCTGGTGAGCACCTGGTACACTAAGAGGGTCCTGGTGAACACCAGCTGCACTAAGAGGGTCCTGGTGAGCACCTGGTACACTAAGAGGGTCCTGGTGAACACCAGCTGCACTAAGAGGGTCCTGGTGAGCACCTGGTACACTAAGAGGGTCCTGGTGAACACCAGCTGCACTAAGAGGGTCCTGGTGAGCACCTGGTACACTAAGAGGGTCCTGGTGAACACCAGCTGCACTAAGAGGGTCCTGGTGAGCACCTGGTACACTAAGAGGGTCCTGGTGAACACCAGCTGCACTAAGAGGGTCCTGGTGAGCACCTGGTACACTAAGGGATAAGTACCATGGGGACGGCTGAATGCAGTATTCAAATCCTGTTATGGGAGAGGAGATCCACCATGTCAGTGGCTGAAGCCTCCTCCGGGGCCCAGAGCCTCCTCCGGGGCCCAGAGCCTCCTCCGGGGCCCAGAGCCTCCACCGGGTCCCAGAGCCTCCTCCGGGGCCCAGAGCCTCCTCCGGGGCCCAGAGCCTCCTCCGGGGCCCAGAGCCTCCTCCGGGTCCCAGAGCCTCCTCCGGTGTCCAGAGCCTCCTCCATCACTATGCTTTTCAAATAAATGATTGTATATCTTACAGTGGGTTCTACCCGAAGTTGTGTGTGGCTCACCACGGGTTCTCCCGAGGATTCTTTAGGTTCTCCCTTGTGTCTTACCTTTTACATATTGTAAGTCCTGATGTAAGATTGTTGAACAGAATATATCAGAGAGAGAGATAAAGAGAGAGAGAGAGAGAGAGAGAGAGAGAGAGAGAGAGAGAGAGAGAGAGAGAGAGAGATAGAGAGAAAGAGAGAGAGAGAGAGAGAGATAGAGAGAGAGAGAGAGAGAGAGAGAGAGATAGAGAGAGAGAGAGAGAGAGAGAGAGAGAGAGTGAGAGTGAGATAAAGAAAGAGAGACACTGGGCTGAGATCAACAGGTGCTGGCGTGTACAAAGGTTCACTGGGCTGTGAACCAAGATACGCAGAGTTGCTATCTTTTGGTATTTGGTTTGTTTATAATTAGCGGAGTTTGTAGTAGAGATAAACGCTGCTCTTGAACCTTTACTGTTTGTTGATGGTGTAACAACATGTTTGACGTAGGCTCATAGGCTACACATTCATGCACTCGTCGTAACACATTCATGTCCTCATGAATGCTTATTCATTATAAATAACATTATAATAATAATAATTACAATAATAATGAGCTAAAGACATTGTCTTTAAGTATTTATATTTCGTGAAATGTCTTACACACTCCTGGAAGACACACTCCTGGAAGACACACTCCTGGAAGACACACACCTGGAAGACACACACTCCTGGAAGACACACTCCTGGAAGACACACTCCTGGAAGACACACTCCTGGAAGTGACCGTAACTCAGCATAAAGACTTACCTCGCCAGGCTCGGGGTGCCGTCTGCTGGACACAACAGCCTCGTGGACCTCCTGCTCCGCTGGTGCCGCTGCCGGCATTCCTTGAAGAAATTTCCGCGTCGTTATTGGCTTATGGGAGTTTCCTGAAGGTTTGCGGCGAGGCTCCTTGTTGCCTGCGTTCCTGGCCCCCCCTCCTGGACAATGGCGCAGGGAGGGAGAGAGAGAGGGAGAGAGAGAGGGGAGAGAGAGAGAGAGAGAGAGAGAGGAGAGAGGGAGAGAGGGAGAGAGGGAGAGAGGGAGAGAGGGAGAGAGGGGGAGAGGGGGAGAGGGGGAGAGGGGGAGAGAGAGGGAGAGACAGAGAGGGAGACAGAGAGGGAGACAGAGAGGGAGACAGAGAGGGAGACAGAGAGGGAGACAGAGAGGGAGACAGAGAGGGAGAGACAGATTACGTCAATTATATGGCATCATTTAAGGTGTAGGGGTTCCTGCCATGGTCGGGGCCGCTCTGAACCACCACGTTACAGTCTCGCAACTCTCCTCCACCTGAGAGGTGCCCAATCACCTCGACCTCCTAGGGTGTCCCAGTGTCACACAAACGGTCAATTTAAAGTGCTCTTAACCTAACCTACCAGAGGACCCAAAACAGAAAACAGAATTCCCGTCTTGTTCCATGATATTTGTGTGGTGTGCAGGTAAACACTGAGGCAGGTAAACACTGAGGCAGGTAAACACTGAGGCAGGTAAACACTGAGGCAGGTAAACACTGAGGCAGGTAAACACTGAGGCAGGTAAACAGAGAAGGTAAACACTGAGGCAGGTTAACACTGAGGCAGGTAAACACTGAGGCAGGTAAACAACAGTGTAGGTAAACACTGAGGCAGGTAAACAGCGGTGTAGGTAAACACTGAGGCAGGTAAACACTGAGGCAGGTAAACAGCGGTGTAGGTAAACACTGAGGCAGGTAAACACTGAGGCAGGTAAACAGCGGTGTAGGTAAACACTGAGGCAGGTAAACACTGAGGCAGGTAAACAGCGGTGTAGGTAAACACTGAGGCAGGTAAACACTGAGGCAGGTAAACACTGAGGCAGGTAAACACTGAGGCAGGTAAACACTGAGGCAGGTAAACACTGAGGCAGGTAAACAGAGAAGGTAAACACTGAGGCAGGTAAACACTGAGGCAGGTAAACAGAGAAGGTAAACACTGAGGCAGGTAAACAGAGAAGGTAAACACTGAGGCAGGTAAACACTGAGGCAGGTAAACACTGAGGCAGGTAAACAGAGAAGGTAAACACTGAGGCAGGTAAACAGAGAAGGTAAACACTGAGGCAGGTAAACACTGAGGAAGGTAAACACTGAGGCAGGTAAACAGAGAAGGTAAACACTGAGGCAGGTAAACAACAGAGAAGGTAAACACTGAGGCAGGTAAACAACAGAGAAGGTAAACACTGAGGCAGGTAAACAACAGAGAAGGTAAACACTGAGGCAGGTAAACAACAGAGAAGGTAAACACTGAGGCAGGTAAACAACAGAGAAGGTAAACACTGAGGCAGGTTAACAACAGAGAAGGTAAACACTGAGGCAGGTAAACACTGAGGCAGGTAAACAGAGAAGGTAAACACTGAGGCAGGTAAACAGAGAAGGTAAACACTGAGGCAGGTAAACAACAGAGAAGGTAAACACTGAGGCAGGTAAACAGAGAAGGTAAACACTGAGGCAGGTTAACAACAGAGAAGGTAAACACTGAGGCAGGTTAACAACAGAGAAGGTAAACACTGAGGCAGGTAAACAGAGAAGGTAAACACTGAGGCAGGTAAACAACAGAGAAGGTAAACACTGAGGCAGGTAAACAACAGAGAAGGTAAACACTGAGGCAGGTAAACAGAGAAGGTAAACACTGAGGCAGGTAAACAACAGAGAAGGTAAACACTGAGGCAGGTAAACAGAGAAGGTAAACACTGAGGCAGGTAAACAACAGAGAAGGTAAACACTGAGGCAGGTAAACAGAGAAGGTAAACACTGAGGCAGGTAAACAACAGAGAAGGTAAACACTGAGGCAGGTAAACAACAGAGAAGGTAAACACTGAGGCAGGTAAACAGAGAAGGTAAACACTGAGGCAGGTAAACAACAGAGAAGGTAAACACTGAGGCAGGTAAACAACAGAGAAGGTAAACACTGAGGCAGGTTAACAACAGAGAAGGTAAACACTGAGGCAGGTTAACAACAGAGAAGGTAAACACTGAGGCAGGTAAACAACAGTGTAGGTAAACACTGAGGCAGGTAAACAACAGTGTAGGTAAACACTGAGGCAGGTTAACAACAGAGAAGGTAAACAAGAGAGACGCCCCCCCCATGACCCCCGTAAAGTAGGAGAGGTTCCTATTGCGACTCCAGCGACACCCGTGAAGGCTGACATGTGGGCGTCGTGGCCCATAGTTTACCAACACAATTTTTGGTTGTTATCGATGGTGAAACAGTAGTGATTGGGGAAGATGGGGAGGGGGGGGGGGGTAGGGGTGTGAGTGAGTGGGAGAGGCCTGGACACAGGGCGACCCGGGCACCGCAGGGTACACCACACAGTACACAAGTAAACATTGTCAAGGACAGACAGATAAAAAACAAGACAAATGAACAAATAGAGATCAAAGCAGAGACATAGAACTAAACAAATATACATGTAGAAAAACAGACGTAAGACCAGAGAGAGATGAGCAGACAGACATAATGAGAGAGAAAGGAAAGCAGAAAGAGAGTCATACAGAAATACGCAGAAAATCGACAGACAGACAGAGACAGACAGACAGACAGACATTTTGTCGGGGAAATCCTGAAATTGCGTAGAAAATTGACTTGGTTCGACAAGTTTGTGATCACGTTGACTGACTGAGGCCCAGACCAGATGAAGACTTGGAGCAGACTTGCCTGACTGTGCTTCCTTGACGGAGCTTGTGTGCAGCGAGGTGTAGCTCCTGGGCCCCGCCTCCCTCTATAGTGTTGTCTTAACTCTTGTCGACCTGTCACTGTTCTGTCGCTCCTGCTCTATAAGTAGTGGACAGAGGTGGCTTCCTTTACGTCTGCTTCAGGTAAGCCATAATACACGCCCCCAACAGCCATAATACACGCCCCCAACAGCCATAATACAAGCCCCCAACAGCCACACGCCCCCAACAGCCATAATACAAGCCCCCAACAGCCATAATACACGCCCCCAACAGTCATAATACACGCCCCCAACAGCCATAATACAAGCCCCCAACAGCCATAATACAAGCCCCCAACAGCCATAATACACGCCCCCAACAGCCATAATACAAGCCCCCAACAGCCATAATACAAGCCCCCAACAGCCATAATACAAGCCCCCAACAGCCATAATACAAGCCCCCAACAGCCATAATACAAGCCCCCAACAGCCATAATACAAGCCACCAACAGCCATAATACAAGCCACCAACAGCCACCTCTAATGACCCAGCCCCCCCACCTACCAGCCCCACCCCCCCACCTCTAATGACCCAGCCCCCCCACCTACCAGCCCCACCCCCCCACCTCTAATGACCCAGCCCCCCATCTACCAGCCCCACCCCCCACTAATGACCCAGCCCCCCACCTACCAGCCCCACCCCCCCACCACTAATGACCCAGCCCCCCACCTCTAATGACCCAGCCCCCAAATACCAGCCCCACCCCCCCACCTCTAATGACCCAGCCCCCCCACCTACCAGCCCCACCCCCCACCTCTAATGACCCAGCCCCCCACCTACCAGCCCCACCCCCCCACCACTAATGACCCAGCCCCCCACCTACCAGCCCCACCCCCACCTCTAATGACCCAGCCCCCCCACCTACCAGCCCCACCCCCCCACCTCTAATGACCCAGCCCCCCACCTACCAGCCCCACCCCCCCACCTCTAATGACCCAGCCCCCCACCTACCAGCCCCACCCCCCCACCTCTAATGACCCAGCCCCCCACCTACCAGCCCCACCCCCCCACCTCTAATGACCCAGCCCCCCACCTACCAGCCCCACCCCCACCTCTAATGACCCAGCCCCCCACCTACCAGCACCACCCCCCCACCTCTAATGATCCAGCCCCCCCACCTACCAGCCCCACCCCCCCACCTCTAATGACCCAGCCCCCCATCTACCAGCCCCACCCCCCACTAATGACCCAG